TGTATTTGAAGGCAGAAGGGACTCTGCCAACAGAAACCAAGCAAACAGTTAAAAAATGCCTAGTCTTAACAAAGAGGGCTAGAACGCTGTCAAGGGAGCAAAATGAGTTTGAAAGGGAATGGACTGTCACCGATCAAGAGATATTTTCAAAGCTTTATGTGAAAGGAGTTGATTTTTGTTACTTGATTCACTGAATATACAGCTACTGTTGCAATACAGAGCAAGCTAGGGATGAAAGAGACAAGCAGTTAAAGAGAAAGGCATGAGTACAGGAAGAAAACTTCCCTGGCAGAGGCAGGCAGAAGACAGCCACAAAGGAAGTGAAAGCAATAGGGAAAGGAATACGGGATGTTAGGCTGACAAAGTGTGTCTCTGTTCCCAGTTGAGACCTATCTTTTCCCCTTCACTTTATCCCAAAAACTAAGCTAAAAATGCAGAAACACAACATTTCTCAGGCTATACAGAAAGGAATGGCAAAGGATAATCCCACAGATGGCATATTTGTTTTGTGCAACTTTGTGTTCAGCACCACAAGGATTAGTGCATTAAAAATACATAGACTTGAGAGAGATGGCTTCACAGGAGAAGGAAGTACCTCCGGGTTTGCTTCCATTAAGTCAATGGGAACATTGCTGTTTGCTTCAATGAAAACAAGACCAAGTCCTTATCTGACTATCTTAAAATGTTACAAAACAGCAGACTCTAATCTGTGTCTGAAGCCTCCAGGCTTGTCCTGAAGCTGCTTGTTCACCACCTCCTGTTATTTTCTGTGGAGGACTCTGAGGGTCTTTGCAAGGTCAGGGCAGGGTCTTTGCAAAGTGCATCCTTTACAGGTGTCAGTTCCGGTGCCTGGAGTGAATCACCTCCTTTTCTCTTTCCTCTTACGCGTGTGCTCCACTTGCACTTTGAGGCTAGGTCAATGTCAGACAGACTTCCTGAGAACAGCAGATGAAATACTGAGGACTGTGAGGGCTGATAGAAGCCCCCTGCCCAGCTTCCTTTTACATTTCTTTCTGTCTCCAGCCCTGTTTCTTCCTTTTAGTGCCTGTTGTATTCAGATGCATTCACAGTTTTGACGTCTTTCGTGATATTTTGCTGTGACAGTGATGCCCACAGGTGTTACAAACCAGTGCCTTTTCCATAAGGATATTTAGCATCCCTTCAATACATGACCCTTTCATAAGCTTCAGTGCTTGTTTTCAAACCCATTGCCCTTCCTCATCTTGCAGCATACAGCTCCTTGGTCCAACTAAAAAATGCACATATCCATCTCCTCCTAACAGATATAAACCTAACGCTCTGAACCTCCCCTCCTGCCTCTGATCCTTCTCATGGTTTCTCACCCTTGCTACCCTTTATGCCTTCTTTGCTCTGTGTTGATGAATATTTGCTCTCAAGGGGAAAGAAGACCTTAGTTATGGATGCATGACACACCAGGGAAGTTTTGAAGAATCAGGGAGCCAAATCTTCATCCCTGTCCAGAGGAAATGGACATCTCATTTTTTGAACTAAGAGAGGCAGCCTTTTTGAGGTCCCCAGATGGACTTCCAGGTGTAAGAGCCTATCACACATTTTGCACTGAATGCTAGGAGTGGACAGTTGCTGAAAAAGCAATCACCACCTCCACTTTCAAGTCTTGTTTTACTGGATGTATAAACCCACAGGGAACTGAGAACTAGGAGAAGCAATACCACGCACCGTTTTCATGCTTCCAGCATAGCCGACCAGTGTTTACGTATCTCCAGAGAAAAATGTGAGGACTCTGCCTATCCAAGGACCACTATCCATACCAGCCCAGCAGTGGGCTAACAACCTGTCCTGCAGACAACATGTGTATTGCTTGGTGTAGGATCAGTTCTTTCTTGACTGCAGGATAGGAGAGCATTATTACCTAGTATTTAATTACAAGTCCAGATACTACAAAAGGCTAAGGAAGGAAAGGGTTAGTGAAATGGCCTATTTTATTTTTCAGTAGCTCTCTCTAAACATCCCTAAGGATTTCTTAACTCCCATTAATTTTTTTTTTACCTGAAAATGCTGATTGTAAGGAATCCAGTAGTGATACAGGCAAAGAAAAGCAGATTGTTAAATACTTTTGCTGCAATAAATCTCCAGGCACTTGAAAGCTGGTAGGGCATGGGGAGGAGAAAGGGTGGATGAAACAGGGGCTGCATATTTTAATAGGATGATTAAAAATCCTTTATCAGGGCTCAGCAAATATAAGATATTTAAATAGAATTTTTTCAATGTCTTACTGCTCCATTCTTGCAAGTTGTACTTTTGTCTGCTGTTCCTGTCTACGTGAAAACCAAAAACTTCCCCAATTGCTGCAGAGCCCTGCTTACTCTGCCCTCTTCTTTCCCTCTAAGCTTGTTGAATAAACTGCTCAGCTGAATAACTAGAGATACTCCTCTCCCTTTTCCTCCCAACCTAGCAGTCTTTCCTGCTCCAGCATTTTTTTCAGTGCTCTTTTTCATTCTCTCTGCTGACTCCATTTGCTTATGAAGATGAGGGGTCCAAAGCCACATAAGAACCAGATCTGCCCACATTCGCACATTCAAGGCTGAGTGTTTGCTTTCTTTTTTTGCTTTCTTTTCACTGAAAAAGAGTATCCACCTAAAAGAAGTAGAAATAAGTCTGAGTAGATGGAAATGAGTCTGAGCAGAGCATGTGCCCACAAACCTAAAGCAGTTCTAGAGAGGCTTAGGGAAATCTCTGAAGTAGAAGTTGTAGATGTGGAACAGATGTCCCCTTTCCAAAGCATTTGCATGCATGTGGAAGGAAGCAGGTGAAGCTCACAGAGGTCTGACCCCGAAATGACCGAGAGGTGATAGCCCTTCTCTTCTCAGCCAGAAGCTGAGCTATGTGCTCTGCCTGGCTGTTTGTTTGGGCTCATCTTTAAGGCTTCAGTCAGTCAGGTGAATGATGCCCTTCCAGAAACTAACAGCCATTTGCTTGTGGCATTGGTGTATCTGAATGCACAGGGAGAACCAGGGCTAGCAGTAAGTTCGACAAAAAGCAGCAGGTGGAGGAAGACAAGGAATGAATTAGATTAATACAGTTGAGATCCTTCACTGTATACACCAGCCATTTGATTTTTTCAATGCCTGTTACCATGCAGAGGAAAGCAGCAACTACCTGGTTAGCACGGGGCAGGAAAAAAGAGTACCACATTCAGTTTTGCAGGGCAGAAATACTATATATTTTCTCTTCGTCTGTATAAGAGCAGTTGATATCTCTCAAGCATTTTCCATTGGGGAATAAGAAAGCACTCAACTAGCTCTTCAGACCAGTTGCTGTGCACTGAAAGTACTTGCCTACTGTTGTAACTGGCTTGCTTATGTTTGTAATAAAAGTGAAGGGAAATACAGTATTACCAAGCCACGAGCATCCACCAGCTGTGGATAAATGGCCATCTCTGCTATGCAGAAGCCCCTTTGCTCTCAACTGAATGTTGCCATCTCAGGGATGAAAGATTCCACTCTTTAGAGCATACCACAGCATTGGAAGGCAGATATAAGGAGCCCATTTCCTTCTGGGAGCTAGAGAACTGAATTACTTAGGTGGGATATAAATGGTTTGAGTTTGTTAGAATGATGGAGCCAGCAGTCCCAGATTTTGAGAAAAGCATCGTGGGGTTGTAATGATCACGAACAGGCATCACCTCCATTCTGTGTGTTAGATAAAAATACCTTCAGTATCCATGTTCAGAGAATTTAGTGTGACCTCTCCTACGTCTGGTCAAGATTAATCCCCCAATCCAAGAAAATCAACAGGGACTAAAAATGCCCCCAAAAGGCTACCTTTCTCGTAGTAGCTGGTCCCTTTCCCTCGGTAGCACCCCTGAGCCTTTCCTCAGGTATGGTCTCCCACACATCCTCTGGCACAGGACTAGTCTAACAGCACACAGCTGTGCTGCCTGGAGGTCTGAGTGGCAAGAAATGGTTGGTATTCATGTGCACAGTGCCCAACCCATGCTAATACTGCAACCCGCCCTAGTGGCTGGCGGAATGAGATACCTGTTCTTCTAGCACACCACCCTGCATCTCTCTCTGGCTCCTAACTCTGCTGGAGTGAATGTCAGTGTCACGGAGGCAGTACTATAGAGAGAAAACAAGCTCAGAACAGTGAGGAAGCCGTTCCCGACCTTGGTAGGTCCCAGAAATAGTTACATGGTTAACAGCCTGCTTCCACAATGCATTCAGCGTTGCCATTTCCAGGTGTTTGTTGTAAGAAGGATCTGAAGGTGCTTAGGAGCTTGCAGGTACAAGCCACAAAGTACACATGCAGATGGCAATACTCATGTCAGCCGTAGCTCATTGTTCAAATGTCGTTTCCCTTGGAGCGCTGAAAGGTGAGCAAGGAGATACTCGGAAAGAAATGAAATGCAAGCAAAGAAGGCCTAATGCACAGCATAGTCAGAGAGCTTAGCAAGGCTGCAAAGCACCAGCTGGTGACTAGGTAAAAATACCCCATGTTTGTAACAGCAGCAGTAAGATGGGATTTGCTCGTGTCCAGCATTACCTTCACTGACGTTTCAGCGTGTGTGACTCCCAGTAATAGACTGAACTGTTTCAGCCACACGGTACTGTGTCCTGCTAGGAGAGACAGCTGCTCCCCCACTGAGGAGAAAACTAGGTCCTTCCCCGAGGTGCTTTATGCTCCCAGCCTCTTTATTTCTAATGGTTTCCCATCCTGAACACTCTTCCTCTTCCTCCTCATTGTCTTCATCCCCCACACACCCCCACACACGTGGCTCTGGATCTCCTCATCATGTTCTTCTCGTTAAAAACCCCATTGTTCATTTGTTTGTTTGTTCTCTCTCTTTCTCTCCTCTTTTTCTCT